TACCGTTCAACAATATTTCTGCAAACAATTCGGCACCTAATATTAGGTCTATGGGTCCAGGCTTATAAAAAAGAGGATCTGCCAGCGTCAAGTTTTTAATATGATTCAAAGATTCAGTCGGGATTGTCGCTTGTGGCAATTCCGAGCAAATCTTTGGAATGACTAGAGCTTGAATGTTAAACTTTAAATTTTGCGTTTTAGATAAAATACAACAATTTACTATACCTTTTGCTTTTACAAAGGTGTCTCCTAGACCATAAGAACTACTACCTAATAACGAAATTTTTAAATTTAATTTTTTGGCGCAAGATTCAGTTATATAACACGCTTGTGAACCCGGATCACAAATCGCTCGAACTGTATACAAGTTACCAGAACTATCTATTAAATCAAGTTGCGTAGTTGCGAGTAAAACCATACTATTTTGATTTTCGCCATTTGCTAACAAGTTTACTGAATTGCAAGGGTTGCTACTAGGGTTGCTACTAGGGTTTCTATCCGCCGAACTAATATTTGGATTACTATTTTTACTATTAATGCTGTTTCTAGTTTCAAGGCTATTTCTGCGATCTAAACTATTTCTACCATCCGTACTATCAAAATGTAGTAATGTGTGATGCGTTTTATTGCACTTCCTACATCTTGAGCGAAATCTACATTGTGCTATTAGGTGGTTAGAGCTTAAGCAATTTAAACAAATTCTATTACCTTTTACAAACGAGTACCTATCTTCGGAAGATTTTTCTAAAAAATTGGGGCAATTCATAATGAAATGCGCATTTTGACACAAAGAGCAACTTTCTGTTTTCTTTAGATTTTCATTTGTTGAGGTATCAGCTAAAAATGCAAAATTTTGCTTTTTATTTTGGCTATTAAAACCAAAGTTTTTATTTGGGCTATTTTGCGCGCTGCTTTGACTACTAAATGAACTATTCTTATTTTGACTATTAAATGAGCTAGTTGTTGACTTACATGCTTTTTTTAAGTCTACTACTTCTAATGATTGACAGTGTGCTGTGAGAAATGAAATTAATTTTTGATAAGATGGTATTTCATTGGATATGTGTTGGTCTTCAAATTTAGTGCATATATTTCTAGGTAATTTGTCAAAAACCATATCAAAAAGGACGTAATTCCAAGAATCCGTCGGAAGACCTAGATGATTTAATGCCGCTAAATTCTCAGACATAGTGGTAATTAACTGACGTAACGACTTGGAGCTATCTTGAACCGCAGGCAAATTTTTTATTTTACTATAGTAGCTGTCCGCCAAAATACGTTTATTTTCAAACCTATCTTCCAAGCTTTTCAGTGCCAAAATGTAACTTGACCCTACTAGGGGCAGGCTTTTAACAATGCTTAATGGTTCATCGCTCAAACTTCCCAACAAATATTGCAGCTTTTGAATGTCAGAAATTTCACTATTACTATCTATTACACTACGAAACATTTCTATAAATGACCCCCAGGCCTCAAATTCACCATTGAAGGTTAACAAATTGAGTTTTGGCAACCTTAGGCCAGGCTTGCTATTGCCTGGAACATTATTGGAGCTATTACTACTTTTCGACCCAAAAATAGTTTCATAATTTATTGAAATTATGACATAAGTCTCTTCTATTTCATTACGCTTGCAAAATTCTTGTGCTATGTCATCCTCTACTTTACCCGACAAGGCTACCTTTTGACCACTGATTAATTTTAATATTTCATCACTAATAGATTGGATATTTTTATAAGTTGCTTCAGCTAAAGCAAAACGAACTTTAAAATTATTTTGTAATGACTTGTCTGTCAAAGCGTCAATGCTTATCTGCTCCAAGTCTGTAAACTTTTTAATTTCAAATTTTCGACGCTCCACTAAATAATTATATTGTTCCATTTTAATTAATAAAATCAAAAAATATCCAAAATATTAGCTATGCCCTAGCAAGCCAAAACTATCCTTTAAAATTTACACAAATAGTTTAATTAAAAATATTTGCTTTGGCCAATTCAAAGAAATTAAACTTTGCTATAAAAAAGTGTTTATGTTCGGTTTTTTGCGCGCCTACAAAAACTATATTCAACGCGCGTTTATTCTGATAAAATTCGATTAAATTTTACGTATCATTAAAACTGTATTTAAATAAAATGCTATTTTGCTATATTGATATTTGCTATTAATATATTAATCTATACTATAATTTGGGCAGCTAAATTCCTAAAAAGCGTAAATGACCCCATAAAATGCACGCTGCTAAAACTATAAAAAGGTGCTTTTTGACTATATAAAAAAAGAAAATTACACGAATTTAACTTAAATCCGGTTCGTATTAAGACCAAATGTTAAGCTGGGAGCGAGTGGACTGTATGGTGGTAAAGGTTTCAGGACTTACATTTCGTGTGACTTTCTTTCCTGCTGAGTGGGGCCCCACGATGACTTCTGGCACTGTTTTGATAGGTATAAGGGAGAGAACCAGGATTTGCTGTTACCAAAATTTACCGTTTACTAACGAAATCTCGTTCTAAATCTAATCGGCCCGTTTTGCTGCTAACTGCCCCGAACGATATTGGCTAACTGCTCATGGTTTTAAAATCTCGGATTCCGCGCAATGCGGTCGATCTCAAAATTCGTTTTTGAAGCGCGCGAAATTTAAACTAAAAATTCCTAAACTAAACATACAACTTTTAGTAAAACTCTTGGATTTGCATCTGACCAATAACAACAATTGTGGCTATTGACAGTTTAAAAACGTACACTTGTCTAAAAAACAGATGATGGAAAGTAAATTGTCATTATCAGCTATTTACAATTGTATTTGTACCGGACCTATTTCTGTATGCTTGTATCTGCACGGCGGTCCTCAAGGGTGAATAGGTTGACCAAAAATGTAGTCAAAAAATATTTATTACATCTAATTGTACTCCACTTGGGCTTTCTAAAACCATTTTTGGGTAAATCGCAGCTGATCGAAAAGTTGATTTTTTTTTAGTTTTAAAAGAAAATCATGGAATTTTAGTAGTTTTGTTTTTGTTACATTTTTTTATATCAAAAGTTTGTGTAATTTTAATCATTATCTTATTGAAAATCAAATTATTTAATCTTCTGAATAACATTTAGTAGTATTTATTAATTGAAATCATGGTTAAGTATCAAATTTTCATCCGGACTGCAAAAAATTTAATAAAAATGTAGGTAAAGGGTGCCATGAAATCTAATAAAACAAAATATGTTGTTATGAAAACACTTCAATTGTTATTGAACAGAGAAAACAAGTTTTATTTAGATGTTTGTGCTTGTTGTGTTATTTAAAGTAGTGTTTTAAGTTCAAAGTAATACTGCAAAAAGTCTCTGTGACGGCTGGTGGATTTTGGGTACACCAATATCTCAGTTATTACACATGGTACCCATATGCAATTTAAAATTCACAATTCACAATATAATCAACAAATTTCAAACTTTATTTAAAAAGTCCGAGTATTACAGATTTTATACCATTTTAAAATTTTTATTAATTATAATTTAAATTAAAAAAAAATAGAAATGATATAAAATCTGTAATACTTTCTAAATAAATTTTGAAATTTGTTGATAAACTGTAGTAAATTATAAATTGCACCATTTTAATTTAAATTATCCTAATTTGGGGGGCAGGAGGCTGGGGGGCACACTAAAAAACTAACTTTTTTTCCCAAACTTCAATTTAAATTGAATATAATGTACTCATATAAATTTGATGTGGGTCCCATGTCTAAAAATTGTGATATGGGTGTGCCCAAAATCCACCAGCCGCCACTTTAAGATAATCATGAAGAAAACCGATCGAAAGTTTGTGTTGCCTGCGGCAGGAAGATAGTTTTTGGAAAATGCAATCCATCAAAATTTAGATTAAATGATAGCATATAGGCTTTCAATCAATTTGATAAATCTACACTGCTTTAAATTTGACAAAAATGACAGTAGATATCCCAATGCAGTATGTGGCAATTGTCGTTTGTCTTGATACGATAGGAGACAGAATATCTTAAAAATACCTCTTCCCAAAAAAGAACCGGGTTTTGACAAAATTGAGCTACATCCAAGAACGAGACTCACATGTCACCATGTAGCTGTCGACTATGTACCATTGCTAGTTTTAAAGGTCACAAACTTACACGCAAAAATCCTAAATGGAAGAACAAAAAAGCAAATTTTAGAACATGTAGTAAATGTTGCAAAAAGTTGGTAAAGGAATTTCCCACAATTGCAGGAAGCACAATTCTGTTGTCTGTTGTCCCCTTATTTTTTCTGATATTAATGAATCAAGAAATGGCACTTCAAATGTTGGTTTATTTAGAACTTACCTGGGAAAAATATAAAATTAATTGTTTGGACAATGCAAGCTATGGTTTGAGTTTGAGAAAAGCAGTAGTAGATTTTTTTTCTTGTCAATTGTAGGTTTAGTTATTAATGTTTCATGTTTTGTAAAAGTAGTTATCTAATTTTATTAATGTTTCATGTTTTGTAAAAGTAGTTACCTAATGTTATTGAAAAGATCAAAGGATGAGATTTTTATTCGAGTGTCACCAAAATTACAAATATTTTTGATATAACAAAAAATGTAACAAAAAAAACTAATAAAATTCCATGATTTTCTCTAAAAACTAAAAAAATATCAAGTTTTCGATCAGCTGCGATTTACCTAAAAATGGTTTTAGAGAGCCCAAGTGGAGTACAATTAGATGTAGTAAATAGTTTTTGGCTACATTTTTGGTCAACCTATTCACCCTTGAGGACCGCCGTGTCTGGTTGTTAATAAATAAATGAATAAATTATAACTCAAAAGTAACAACTTATAAATAATTTACTATCACCATTACTTGTATTTTTTACACTTAGTTTGTTCTTATTGTTCTTAACACATCTTCTTCTTAAATACACTTACAACAAAATCATGGTATTAAAAAATGAACTTTGGTTACTTAATAAACCCGTCCTTCGCATTTTTTATAAATACATAAATTGCATAGGTACTTACTTCAAAATTTGTATTTGGAACGCCTCCACATGCTCCCCAATCTTGTTATTTGAATCGCTCAACTGAAACCCATTCAGCAGCAAAACGGCCTCGGCAAACGTGATATCCTCATCGAAATCCCTCACCGAAGTCAAAAGGCAATGCAGTAAAACCTCCCTTATGTTGCACTTCACCATCAAATCGGCGATATAACTGGAAAAACCTTTCGAGTTTTCGTCGACCATCTTCGCGAGGTTCCTTACGATAACGTCCAAGATGTCGAGACTTTCCAGTTGGATTTTCAGGTTGTTGACGATTTCCTCGTGTTCCATGTGGCACGCGAAGAAGGAGCGCGCAAAGTTCAGGCATACGGATACGATGACGTCCAAAAACATGAAGCCCCTGTAGAGGTTGACGTAGTCCTGATTCAACTCTCCGTAGAACGTGTTCCCTTGAAATAGAGATGTAAAAAAACGGTTTTTTTTCAGATGTGAAAAAAAACATGAAAAAAAACCTAGAAAAAAACGTTTTTTTTGTTTTTTTGAAATCTGCTACAATAAAGCATATTCTGTCAATAAATAACAAAAATCTTAAAAAAATGGAGTAATTTTTCAAAATGAAATTTTGGTTAAATGTACAGGGTGTTATGTAATTAATGTTATATATTAAAATGGGTTGTTCCTGAAACTTTTTTTTTCTAAATTCCAAAGTCTAAAAATAATTTATAATAACCTTTAACCTACCAAAAAGTACGCCACTGATCGACTAGGAACTTTAGGTTAATCTGGTGGATTTATTATGTTATGGTTGGTAACCACAGTTTTTCCAAAATCTCTCAAAAAAGTTGACAAACATTGTTTGAATTTAGCTTAATTACAAAAATGACAAAATTAACAATGCAAATTGTCAATTTGGCGTTTTTATTAATTGTTGGTTATTTCATTTTTGTACTGAAGGTAAATTCAAACAAAATCTGCCAACTTTTATGACAGAATCTAGTGCATTTTTTTTAAATTTTAGGTTATGTTTTCAAATTGTAAATATCTTAACTAAGGAAAGTGCTTTTGGATTTATTTACACAAATTAAATGTTTAAAGTTTAACCTGTGAACTGGTCCCAATTTCATCTGAGTAAACAGAGAAAAAAACTGATGAAAAAATTAATTTTGTGGTTATGGATTTCAAATTTCAAAGGTACTAAATTTTCTAATCATTGCTTAAGCTAATAGCTGGATGAGTAAATAAATACAGAAGGGTATTAGAGCTTTAAGGGCATAAAACTTTTGTATTTATTGAGTTTTTATTTATTTTTTGCAAGAAAAATTTTTAGTAACAATTTTTTACATCTGGCAACGCATAGCTACTTTGTTGGTTGGTATCTATGTACTCACAAAATACAGGTGTGCAGAGATAAACAAGTGTGTAACCAGTGGCGTATCACAAAAAATATAAAAAACTTCTAATGCATATTTTTTCTTTATTCCTTATGTCAAAAGGTATTCAGTATTTTAATATATAACAATAATTACATAACACCCTGTATATTAATAATAAAGTGAAAGGTAGAATATATTTCATTTTTCATTATTGAAAATTTTGACTGAGACTAAAAAATCTGATTTCTTATTATTTGGTAGTTTCCACGTAAGAAACCAATATCAATGTAAAACTTCTACACTAATTAGTGTAGTGTAGTGTAGTATTATAATAGAAAAAATTAAAGGATTAAAAAAATTCCAAATTTTTTCGGATAGCTGTATCTTCGTTAAAAATGGTCGTATTGGAGCCGTAAAAAAGCAATTTGAAGCTTGAAGTTTCTAATTTTTAGATGAAAAACGTGCAACGCTCAATCCTAACGAATGAATAAATGTTCTACAAAAAATTGCTATTGTTTAAAAAAAAATCATACTCTACATGAATTTTTTTGGTAGCTTTTTGAAAAATCTAAAATATTATAGGTAGTTACTTTTTTTAGTCATTTAGTAGCTAATTTTAGTCCATGAACTGGACTGGAAACATAAAAAATTAGGTAAATGGGACTAATCTTGAAAAAAAACCTAAAATTTGAAAAAAAACCATTTGAAAAAAAAACAATGAAAAAAAAAACCTGAAAAAAAAAAACAAAAAAAAACGGACCGTTTTTTTTCAAGTCGCATCTCTACCTTGAAAACTCTTGTGATGCCGCGCCAGTAAATGCAGTGTATCGTTGTTCTTGAGATTTTTGATCCCGCTGGTAGCCAAGCATTTGATGAACAGCTGCGAGTTGGCGAGGATGCAGCTCTTTAGGGTCGCCAGGGCGTACAAAATCTGATTGGAATCGAATTTCTCGTAGTACAAGCAAATATGGTTGTGTATCGGGTACAGTTTGTTCGAGGTGTGCGCGCCGGATTTCTGCTTCAAATCCAAGTCCGTCGGTCTAGAAGGCGTCGCGTCGACGTCGACATCGTCTTCGTCCAACTCGGCGCACACTTTGTTTATCAGCTCGTTTATGATTTCGCAGACTACTTGACTGTCGCCGCCTTTGAAGAACTCCTCGGCGCTTCTGCTGAACTCCAGCTCGCCGTTGAGGTTGTCCGAGTCCGAGATGCAGTACGACCAACTGTGCACCAGGGAGTTCTCGAGGTTTTCGTCTTTGATTTGGATGGATTTTTCGTCGAAGCTGCGCGATTTCGTTATTTTATTGGCTTTATTGTCGACGGTTATGATACCTTCCGATATGGGCTCCATGGATTCCCATATGTTATTGATATTGGATTTCTGTGTTTTAATGGAGATAAATCCAGAATCCCTGTCGCCATTTTCTTGCGGTAATAGTGTTTCATCGTGACTTATGGGCGTACAATCGTTGCTAGAACTCAAACTTTCGGAAGACGAATGCCGAGAACTCAGCAGAGAATAAGATCCATCCATACCATTAGGATAAATCTCCTTTGAACTCAAAGGGTTGATAATCACCTTAACATTCCCTTTTGCGCTCTTCTCCATCTTAGGTGACATGCTGACATTCTTATAATCCTTATTCTTTCTTGTTACTATGCTAGAATCTTCCGTAAAACTTGTAGTGGTATCAACAATAGTAGGCGAAAACTTTTTTACCGTCTTCGGAAATGGAAACCATTTTTTCTTGGGCGGCTTAGGACTAGGCCCGTCAGTCACGTGATACATAATATTCCCGTTAACGCTACTCACAGCGTAGATTTGTTTCGATTCTCGTTCCTCCACCTTATAATTATCATTAACGTTATTTTCACCCTGTATATCAGACGGGTGGATATTTACATTTCTTATGGATATTCTTGCAGTGTTAGATGCAAGCAGTTTAGTTAATATTGGGTTTATTATGCGCGGTATATCGTTGTGGTATAAACTGTGATTCAAAAACGATTCTGATAGTAGTTGTAGGTTTGGTTTTTCCCTGTTTTGCAGATTATCAAGTATTTTCAGCAATGATCTAAAACAATACAAAATAATCATTGATTTTTTCCTAGGAATATTCAGAAATAAAGTTTTACAAAGCTCATTATAGCGTCGTTAATACTGCAATAGTATATACATAATAGTACCATGTTACTATTAGTTTAATTCTATTTCAATGTTTTTACATGGATAACTTGACAAAATAAATTTTTGTAGTTATTATTGTGCATTTTCTACTTAAAATTTTTCAATAAAATTTAGTAAAGGGTCGCTTTGAGGGGTGGTGAATCCAGTGCCGTGCTTAGATTTTGTTTAAAAAAATCGCTAATATGAATTCTTAAAAATTTACTCTTAAAAACTGACATAGTAGGCCTTGTATTTTGTACTAATATCATATTAGTAATATGGCGTTTTTTGTTCCAAAAATACAGTTTATCAAGATCTAGGCTTGAAAACAAATCCGATTAAAATGGCACAATAAATAAAGAATTTACAGGGGTGAGTCGCACAAATGTCAAAATGGCCCTTTTGGGTTTGAAGCACAGTAACTTTCAGAAGGGCAAAAAAACGTTACTGGGTACTTTTCTAAAACCATAAAAGTATAAAAATTGTTTTTTTCTATATTTTTTATGCTTCAAGTACACAGTAAAGTGTGTGTCCTAAAAAGTTACATACGACATTTTGCAGTACTGCAATACAAATTGTATTGCATTATGCAATGCTGTTTTAAAGCCCCAAATACAAATTTTGTCGAACGTTCAGCCTATACGCTAAAGAGGTATCGGGTTTTCGTAACGCGCGCGCCATCTGGTGGACTTTTAAGAATTGTCAACAATACATTTAAAGCATATATTATACATATTTTTTAAAGAGGAAGGTAGAAGTATTACTCCACAAATTTTGTTCAATTGCACATCTAAATCGCGCATGTTATTTGTGCTTTAAGTTGCAAGGAAAAAATTAAAAAACTTTTTTAGTACTCGATTTCGATTGATTATTCCTTATATCATTGATTAAGAAACTCAACGCTTAAATGCTTTTACAGGGTGTCCGGGAAAAGGAGGTCAATCCGTTAACCATATATTCTTTGAGTTAAAACAATAAGACTTTCATAATACCATTTTTCTATTTAGAGCTTCATGTTCGATATACAGGGCGACAAAGTTTGAAATTTAATACTGATTTTTTTTAATAATTCAAGTAATTGATAAGATATTAAGTTTAAATTCGGTACACTACTTCAACATAAATGGTTACATTTTTTGAGACCAACAAAACAAAAAACAATTGTCAAATAATCAAAATAGGGGGGTCCAGTACTCACTGACTTCCCCTATTTTTTAGTACGTGCGCCAATGACTTCCAAACGGTATTTTTTTAGGTAATCATTTATTGTGGACAATTTTTTGTCTCTTATAAAATTTTGATAAAATGATTTGTTTTAGAGATAATTTGTAAAGTATGGGTCAATCCCTTTCAAATTTTTGAAATTTATTTTTTTTTTTGAAAAAATTTAGGTCATGTGATATATCATAAAAAAGGTCTCTAATAGGCCTTTAAAATAAGCTATCACTCACCTTTTTACTTTTAATAGTTTACGAGATATCGCTATTTTTGTAAGTACTTGCAAAACCCAAATTTATCGGAATTTTTTGATTTTCAAAAATCAATAAAACAAAAACCACCCATCGAAAAAAAATCATATATGGGATTTTTGAGTTTTTTAGTGAGGTAAATTTACCAAAAATTATCAAAATCGGAGATGGTGGGGGAAGAACCTTTGGTTGATTTGATATGGACTGACCCATACTTTACAAATTATCTCTAAAACAAATCATTTTATCAAAATTTTATAATAGACAAATTTTTTTTAACAATAAATGATAACCTGAAAAAATACCGTTTGGAAGTCATTGGCGCACGTACTAAAAATAGGGGCAGTTAGTGAGTACTGGACCCCCCCTATTTTGATTATTTGACAATTGTTTTTTGTTTTGTTGGTCTCAAAAAATGCTATTTATGCTGAAGTAGTGTACCGAATTTGAACTTAATATCTTATCAATTACTCGAATTATTAAAAAAAATCAGTTTTAAATTTCAAACTTTGTCGCCCTGTATATCGAACATGAAGCTCTAAATTGAAAAATGGTATTATGAAAGTCTTATTGTTTTAACTCCCGGACAACCTGTATAGTAACGTAACTGTGTGTGTATTTTATTGTGAATTATTGTGTGTTTAATTGTAAATAAAATTCAAGAACTAAATCGTTCCATTTTCATGTTTTGCCAAAGGATCCAATTTGTTGGTGCAGAATTAACTAATGATAACTTTACCTAACATAATTTATATTTAAGTTTGGACATTTTTAAGAAATTAGTAAAAAATGACTGAAAATACGTTGTTTCGTTCCCGATTTCACGGCAGAAAGTTTACGTAATACGTACTATCTTGCATTGGTCAAGCTATACGCGCACACTCTATAATAGCGGGAGTAAAAATTTTTTAGTCGTGTGCTCAACATATGCAACTCTGATTACGACACTAATATAACCTCAAAATTTGGGCAGGCATCAATATGTTTCAATATACACATTTAATTTTTTCCCGTATTTTCGGCCGGGTTGTATTTTCGGCCGGGTTGTATTTTCGGCCGAGGTAGTAAGAAAAATAGTATACACTACACGGGCAGAAAGTGTGAGAGCCCTGAACTGCGCGCCATCATGGCGCGCAGTGCAGGAATCTCACACTTTCTGCCCTTGTAGTGTAATATACTATTGCACAAACATAACCATAAAATCAACCATTTTTATATTTGAGTTCTCTAAAAAACGCCGACAACTGCATTTTAAACATCAAAATATACCTACGAACTCATGGCAACATAATATTATATATAATACATAATATAATGGTATTTTACCGTTAAGTGGAGACTTTCTTAATCAACGCTTTTAATAATGCTAAATGCTGTTTAAATTTAGACGACTTTTGTTTGACGATTTTTACTGAATTGAAAAGTTTACACTTTTCACGTTAATCACTACTAAAATGTGTATTTATTGTATCTAATAGGAACAATTTATATTTACAGAGACTGTATGCAATTTATTTCTTCATTCAGATTAACACTGTTTATTGGAAAACCGGAAAAAACTCAACTCAGGATTTCCTCTCGATACACCCAACAACACAACAAATCGAGCCACGGTTTTTTTTCCGATATTTTTTAACATATTCTGGCTTTATTCTCAAAAACACTCGTTTGTAACATAAGCGTTTAACAGCTGATTATTAAAAGTTGTAATTTTGTTACGATGATAACGGCCGAGTGGTGGCGCTACTAGCGATACTTCTTTAGCGTAAGTAGCGAGCAAATATGAAAGACCTGTATATAAAAAATATTTCTTATTTTTGTTTTTTTTTAGTATTTAGCAATTTTCAAACTCCAAAATTAATAAACGTTATACGTTTTATTTGTTTTTGTGCGTTATATGTATAAAAATTTAATATCTAAAATATGAGACAGAGAGGTCTTTAAATTTCTGCCTGGGTAAATTAATTTTTTAAACAGTTTTAGAATAAATTTCAACTTATAAAGTCCAAGTTATAAATTGTTTAAAATGATTACCAAATTATCAGAAATAAACAATAGCTAATTTTTGAGAAAAATCAAATGAGTAAAAATATGCAATAATTTACTTACCTATCAAAATTACGTATATGGGACTTGGTAGGTGGCAGTTTAACGTTTAGTTCTCTCCCTAAATGCCAAAGCAACAAAAATTGCTTCACATATGCCACGGATATATTATCCGTGGATAAACATTGACTAATCACTTGCTCGACAAACAATTTGCTATCAAAGGTATTGTGGATTTGATATAGCAAAGTGACGCAAAGCATTAACTGAACTTGATCTGTTAATATTCCTAGTAGGTTCCATAGTATTTTAGATATTTCCTAAAAAAAAGATGATAGTAAGTATTTGCCTTTTAAATAAAACAAAGACATTTAAAACAAACAATATATTTACCTACCTCTATAACATTGGTGTTTTCCTCGACAAAAATTACATGGGCCTCTTGTAAAAACCCTGCAATATGCACCGTGGAGTCGTTTTTCTTCTGATAATTTTGGTTTTTGGCCAAACTAAAAATCTCCAGCAGCGTATTCATGGCGGTGATTTGCACGTCCCTCGAAGAATCCTTGCAGCAAGCGGAAACTATAAGAGTTGTTAGCCACTGCGGTAAACTTTTTTCCATCGAGGTCTGCAGTAAGTTGGGAAAGGCGGAGAATTCCAACAAAATATTTGACGCTACGTTCATCGATTGCTCGTACTCGCATTCCGCGTACTCAGGGGCGATGTTTTGAGATATATCGAGAGATTTTTCGTGTGGAAACATTTTTAAATCGAATGCTAAATCGTACCCCTCACTCAGCCTTCTATCGAGCAGTTTTTCAAGTCTTTTGTACTCCTGATTTTTGTCTGAGATTAATTTGTTGAAGAAATCCTGTATATCGACTGAGGGTAATATTTTGGATCTCATAAAAATTATGTAGAATTTTTTGTACTCTTCTAGGCATTTAACGAAATATTTGTTCTCGATTTTGGCGATTTTTAGGGGCGCAAAATCTTTACTTTTAACTTCTTGACTAACACTGCCGCTTTCCATTGTTAGCGACTCGGTTTGATCATCTTTTTTGAGCTCGTAGAGCTTGGAACTCGATTTGGACTTTTTGTTTTTATTTTTCTTTTCTATTCTGGGACTCGGGACTTTTCTAAGGTTCTTCAGCATTTGATTGCTGTAGGATCTCTCCCGACTACCATCGTCTATGGTCAGCTCGTTTTTGTCGATATTCTCGTTTATTTTGGAGTCCGATTTACTCTTTTCTAACGTTCTTAATTCGTCTTCTTCATTTTTTTCCTCCGCTATGGAATCATCTTGTTCAATTGCTATTGATGTGGACTGTACTTCGAGATCTTGCTCAATCTCCAAAGACATGGGCTGTATTTTCGTTAATATTTTCAGGCACAGTTTTAGACTTTGCGTGATTTCATGCTGATTTACTATATTAATGTTTAATTTAAGCGTAGTTATTATTTTAGTGAAGAGGTTGGGCAGTATGTTGGACGTGCTTTTTGTGTAGCTTTCCACGGGTATAATGTCTAATAAAAAGTCGGTCAGAATACAAATTTCGAGAATGTGGGGAGCGCCACTCCCCACATCATTCACTTGACACCTATCCCTGTATTTGTAATCTTTTATATTTTTTAGCGATTCCTCGAACAATTTTTCTATGTACTGCCATATGTAGTAGCTTTGCAGTGTGTTGAATAGTACATTCGCGTTTTTGACTAGCTCCTGGCAGTTGGTCGTGACGAAGACTTTATTTAAAGCATTATCTTCGGATTTTAAACTTTTCAGGTCGCCGTTGAACGAAACGCACCTGCCCGGCGTGCTTTTGTGTTTCTGCTGATGTAGGCAGGACAAATACAGCGTCCTAAAAACATCGTAAAGAATTGTGTCCAAAATGACGGGCCCAATTTGGGGTTTGTCGAACAGCGATGTTAGAAGTCTGTAGGGTTTTATGTCCAGTGGGATTTCGGTGCTACATTTTTGCAGGATAATTTTTATAGAGTCTATCAGCAAGTCGTAGGCGATGCTGTGGGGCGAGCGGACGCCATTTTCTGTCGCATTTTGTACTACGGGTATGGTTATATTTGCATCGTTTTCTAGTAACCAGGAATATAAACGTCTAAAAAAAATTACAATTTTGAATTTTTACTGTGCAATGTTATATTTTTTTGTACCTATTTAAGGACATGTCCCGCCTAAGTATGGTAGACAGTGCTGCTGTAACTAATCGGACCATGTCGGCGTACAAAAGTTGCCTATTTTTCATAGGAAAGCATACCATTAGAAGGTCCAGGGCGGATCGTTGCACTAAGACACTAATGTCTTGTACTGCTGCGCATAGGCCACTTACCTAATTTAAAATAATAATTTTAATTTTTGGTTTTTAATTAAGACATATTTTCACATATTTCTATTATTATTTGTTTTTATAAATTGATTAAAATATGCAATTCTTATTCAAACACATATCCTAAAATTTGACAATGAATACACTGCCCGTCAAAATTAACGCATAATAAGTAAAACAATTCTAACTCTAAAACTAGTTTTGGAGCATAGTGCATCCCGTGGGATTTTTTGTGAAGGGAAGATGAAACTATCTGAAATCAGTTTTTTATACACAAGGCAGTAGTGTATTATCGGGTGTTTTGTTTAAAAATGTGTCAATTTTTTATGACGTCATTAATCCGATAACTAACTATTATTTCAGGAATGCGTTTATAAAATGTCGCATAATTTCGTAATTAGTGGTCCTATTAAAAAAATTATATAATCCCTTAAAATAACCAAAAAAAAGGAAAAAAATGATTTAATAGTTATTTATGTATTAAGGGCATAATAAGGTTTTTATGGTCCGAGGCGCTATTTCGAGCCCGAGCGCGTTAGCGCGAGGGCTAGAAAAGCGTCGTAGGACCATAAAAACCAGTTATGCCAGCAATGCATACAAAACTTTATGCACGATTAATATATTATTATTTTTAATATATTATTGTTTTTAAAGACGTTTACGTCAAAGAATTTTTGTTATAATTGTCATATTATAATGTCAACTGACATCAGTCAGTTTTAAAGTTTAAAGATAAATGAAATTGAGGAAGCAGCTGAAAAGGCGAAAAATTGCGGCCTGCTGCCGGTAAAATCAAAATCTTTATACGAAAAAACTTACTTCGAATATATCAAATGGTGTAACATTGTTGTTTTTAATTTTTGACGTTTTATTATAGCCCGCTGGGCCATAATAACGCCCGCGGGCTATAAAAAGACGTTTACGTCAAAGAATTTTTGTTATAATTGTCATATTATAATGTCATCGTGCATAAAACATTTTTTTATCTCAAATGGTTAAGAAAATATTGGCTTTTAAAACTGACATATTGTTATATTTTTATATTTCGCATGGATCGATTTGGAGCCATTTTGCAAGAAATTTGAACTTTTATGAGCTGTAACTCAGCTATTTTTGATTCAATAAAAACGATGTTTTTACCGCTGGATGCGAAATTTAACCACCTTTTAACCATATATCGGATTTTCCATACCCTCTCGATGCTGATTTAAGTAAAATCTTAAATTAAAAAACATAAATATACCGTCATTTAGGCCTATAGGTGAATGGCCCAAATAAGAAAAAAAAGAAAAAAGTTTTTTGTGTTTAACGTACCAAAATCACCCTAAAAATTTAAAATAAAGTTTCTATTTTTCCTTGTAAAACAGTTTAATAAATTATAATTAACAGGAAATGGTAATTAAATAGTTAATAGTAAATATTTTAAAAGAAAATTAAGTATTTAGAAATTAATAATGCTTTTAAATTCAATAAAATACTATATAAAATCAAATTTAAACACAAGAACATACCTTAAATTAAGAAAAACAGCAAAAAAGTATTAAAATCGTAAAATACTTTTGACAGTTCTATGTAAACATAAATTGATAAAGTCAAGGCACACTTAATTTATAAGCAACCAATGAAACTACTTAAATTTTCTAAAACAGTTTTATTTAAAAAAAGTCACGGTTGCTAAAGGCTAAAAAAATTGATGGCCCATAAAATCAGGGGGGTATAAGGGGAATTTGGCAATAGGCAACAGTAAAATTAATCAAGCTGGCTTGGAAACCCGAGGTGAATGTACACCATTGGTGGGATTGACCAAATGTTATGTGCCACATGGTGCCACATGATTTCCTTTGTTGTGGTAAATTGCAAATGGCTGAAAGTGTTGTGTTAAATATTTTAACCAAGATTTTCTTTGTTTTAGGTAAGTAAAATTGTTAATTTCTGCTTTAACATTATATTACCTGGATATAGGCATGTTTAAGTTAAATGTAGCATCACTACCGCGTTTTTATTAAAAAATACGTAGAATTAACCGTTTCGGTTTTTTTCTCCATGTTTTCCTTAAACAAATGTTATGAAAGTTGTAATAAAACAAATAGAATATTATTTTTCTATAATAAAACTTATAAAGTGTTTAATTAAACCAAGTTTTCATGGAATTGGAATGGTTTTAACGTTTTTTGAATAAAAATAACAACGTAAATAAACCTTAATACCTACATGTAAGTTTTTAACGATGTTTTCTCGAAATTTTCAATGCTCAATCAATTTAAGTAGTACATTTTATTTAAAAATTAACACTATATACCTAGTTGCTTTTATAATATTCTTATTATTACAAAAGGTATACCTATCTTTGTTTTGGTAAATTTGTAGGTTATCTACTTATAATATTTTGTAAATCATTTTAATTATCAATTTTTTATTTTCCAATTTTGATTACAATACCTACCTACTAATTTTTAAATGCTATTTTAATAGACTTGTATTAACGCAACTTTTGTCTAATTTAACCGACGTTGTAGCTCTTCAAATAAAAAAAATACCCATGCATAGAAGAATACTTGGTACCTTGCATATACAGCTAAGTGAAAACTGGACCTGGGTCCAGCCCCCTTATCCGTGGATCGGAAGTAAAGGGCTCAACAATTTGGCACTTCATCTATGGTCAACACATTCAACTGCTCTCTCAATGTGCGACTTCTTTCTCTGGGGCTTTATAAAAGATAAAGTTTATGAGCCCCAAGATTTGTGAAAACTAAAGACACGAATTGGAACTGCCATTGATGAAATTACCACTCAGACCCTTCGGTTGGGATAGAAAACGTTCAAGTATTTACTAGATGTTTGCAGCTGGAGGAGGTCATATAAAACACTTGTAAGCATACAGTTCAAAACTTGATTATATTACAAATGTTTTGTGCTTTCCATGTTTTTTTTTACATAAACATAGCATTTTGAATTTTTGATCTACAGGGTGATAATCTTTTACAGTATGTTCATAATTATTTTATTTGTTCTATCTGAAAGTCTGACATTTTTAATGTACATAAATAACTAGACAATTCATAAGCAAACCTTTTAAAGAAATATTTTTAAAGTTTTAAATTCAATCATTTTTTGTTACAATATAATTAATTTTAATTTAATGCATTAATTTTAGGTTTTGCCATAACGGAACAATTAGAGAAGATTTATCCTGCATGAAGAAAAATAATGAAAGACAGCTTTACTCGTCAATCCCAAGCAGAAATATTTGACTTCCAAAATTTTTTAATAATAGGTACCTAGATATTTTTTTCATTTAGAATACATTTTTAGTTACAATTAGGGGTGTGTGAATATTTTTACCAAATTTAATTAACTAGTAATATTTAATTCAAACTTAAAATTAAATATTCAAACTACATGAATAGTTTGAATTATTCCAATAGTTAAATAATTACAATCATAATCTATTCAAATAAGATAATTAAGGGTTAATGACAAGTAAATAACATTCAAAGTTTTTATTTAATAATAAATTTTAAATTACAATTCCATGTTCCATTTCTTCAATTACTATTGGAAAATTTTAATTTTCTTATTAAACCATTTAAAAATTTGAAACATTCAAACTATTCAAATAATTCTTGAATTCAATATTCACACATCCATAGTTACAATACAAATATAAAAAAAGTAAAAGCCTTGTCCATTAAAGAAAGTACACTTTTATTTTTTACTCCAAATATAATTAAATTGTTTATTGTTAAAAACAAGCAATCTTACATTTTTATATTACATACACTTCTGCTTTAGATTATTATTTAGCAAGATATTAAAAAAGAATATTTTCATGTTAAAACAGCACAAGGTCACCATTATTAGTTTTTATAAGATTTTTAAATTAAAAAATAAACATAATCATATTTAGTTAGTCACTTCCCTTGTTTTTACAATAAACCATTCAATTATTTGCTTCAGCATAAATATTGCTAAATTATTTTTATTTAATTTTAAAAATTATTAGGTAATATCAATCTTTTTACAATTTAAATTGATTTTAAAATTGATATTGATTTCAGGTTTGGGTTTGTGTTAATGGAAGAAGTAGACAGGACTTGAATTTATCAAACTTCTTTGCAAAAGTACATAGAAAATATTAATTGCAGTTAAATATTCTTCATTGAATCAAGAAAAAGACGCTGGTTCAATCCATGAATCATGATCAAGAAAGAAGACAATCAATTAATACTGTCTGTCCACTCTAAGTTGGCTGAACCAAGGAATTTTGTTGTTTAGATATTAAAGAATTGTCGTACTGTGTGCTTTTAAAACAGATTTTATATTATAAATAATACTAGTATATTATATTATATAATATGTATATATATAATATGTATATTATATAATATGTACTAGTATTATTTATAATATAAAATCTGTTTTAAAAGCACACAGTACGACAATTCTTTAATATCTAAACTACAAAATTCCTTAGTTCCGCCAACTTAGAGTGGACAGACAGTTATATCAGTTATATCAGACAGTTATATCATACAAAGTATTGTATATAAAAGATAGGTACATAAAGATTTTAATTTTGCCAAATACATAATTACAATATTTTTAACATTTAGATTGAAGTGGTTCTATTGATTATTAATTTAAATTAAACCAATTTTACTAAAAATTAAATATTGCAAAGAATGTAATTTAATTTTTGGATAAGTGGGAATTCCTTTTTGCCAAAAATTCTATATTTTACAAAACTATAGTATTGTGCTTCTTATTTAAAACACAAATTATAGTCATACTTTTGCTAACAATTCCTAAAAATTATAAGAGTACACACAAAAAGCGTAGTGTTATTTTAAATATACCGTTAGTGCCTATATGCGCGATTAAATTAATTGTTTGTAATAAATATTTCGTATATTCCCCATTCAAAAGAATGATCGTCTTAAAACAAGACTGAAATATTTGAAAGCAAGTAAAGCTAGATATTTTGTTGAAGAATTTCATATATTTGATGTTATCTATTTAAAATGAATGTTTTCATGTTTTCATAATTATTGGCAATAGTCTTAGCAAAAGTATAATAGCTTTAAGATACACTTGTAAAGTAAAATATAAAATCTTTTAAATTAGTCAAAGATTCAGTTAAAATAAATTACTAAATTAATATCAATAGTTTTTCAATAAGTATTGAACTATTGTTTATCAAGAATTTATCACATTTTGATGGTAGGTAATAGGTTAGAGTTAATTTGTTTAATAAACCTTTGCATTTTTATTAAGAAATCTTAAAATACCTATAAAGATTGTTATTATGTGGCACAAAATTAAAATTTTTGAAAATGATCAATTAAATGTCATACTTTTTGATAAATTATACCTAAATAATTATAAATTATTATACATGTTTGATAAACCTTTTTTTAAATTTCACTAAAAGTTATAGAATAATTAACTTTGAATTTCTCCTCATTTAAATATTATTTGTTGGTTATAATTTAATTTAAAATTGAATTAAGTGTATATTTTGTTTAATATATTTATAAAAAAAACAAAAATGTGTGTTTTTCCACTTAATTAGTGGAAAATAACCGAAAATTGTTGAAATTTTATATTTTTTGATTTTTAAAGAACAATATTAACTATATGGTTCTTTAAAAACCCAAAAAAATATAAAATTTTAACAATTTTCGGTTATAATTCCATATTTTAAATAAAAATTCAAAATTCGCGCCGCAGAAATCGTGTGGATATTTCCACCAATGGCTTACTGGCACCTCGGATTTCCAAGCCTGCTAGATTTTAAAATCAAACAATGCCTGTTGCCACTTTTCACTACAGCGCTTTTAATTCTCTTATGTTCTGTGCATAAAATTATACAATTGTTTTGATACACGGTCATATAACAATCAAAAAATGTCAAATGTAATTTATTTCAAAGGGCACAATAAAATTAATTATTTGGCATTTTATAAATGAATGCCGAAAATGGTGGACATTTTGGATTAGAAATGCCATAAACACCACCATGCATATTTTCAAGGTGAACATCCAGTACCACACAACTCAAAAACGTATAAAAAAGCTATTCCATAAAGTCCCATCATCCCTTCATAACAAATCCCACGGAGAATATTTTATTGCTTTATGATCCAGGACTAAACGCCTTTACCAATCTTTATGAAATTTTATTTTTGTTAGTATACCCTTAAAACTTTTGTACAAATCAAACGAACAGTAACAAAAATACAGCGCTTCAAATTCGATAAAAATTACCCCTTTTTAATTATTTTGCTGAAAAATGGTCATTTTTGACGACTTTGAAGCGCTGTATTTTCGTTACTGTTCGTTTGATTTGTACAACATTTTCAGGGTTTAAAATAAATAGGGTATTTCACAGGATATTTTTTATTTACTTAAAAAAAAATTCCCTATATAAGTTTTTTTGGAGCGTTTTTTATTATTAAATAAACGGGCTTTAAGGATATTTTCGTAAGTAATATCATAAGGGCATTTAATTTTTCCGAAAAGAATCGAAAAAACACGTTGCTAAGTAATATTTTAACAAAAAGCATGAGTGCTGGTGGCAACAAAAATCCGAGTCGAAGAGGAGGATTTTTGCACCTGCACGAATGCATTTTGTTAAAAAATATTACTTAGAATTGTGTTTATTCGATTTTTTTTACAGGAAAAATTAGATGCCCGAATGGTATTTGACAAGACTATTTCATGAGTAACAGTAAACAATTAAAATATAAATTGCAATTTTTGGTGACAACAGCTGTCAAGTTTTGCCGCGGGTAAACTCGAAAAAACTGCTGACAGGGGCTGTCATACAGTTTTTTCACCAAGAAACCATTTGTAATTCAAAATTGCGCGTTTGTGTGGAAATTAAGACGAGGGAAATAGTCGTACGTAATATCATAAGGGCATTTAATTTTTCCGAAAAAAATCGAAAAAACACGTTGCTAAGTAATATTTTAACAAAAAGCATGAGTGCTGGTGGCAACAAAAATCCGAGCCGAAGAGGAGGATTTTTGCACCTGCACGAATGCATTTTGTTAAAAAATATTACTTAGCATTGTGTTTTTTCGATTTTTTTCACAGGAAAAATTAGATGCCCGAATGGTATTTGACAAGACTATTTCATGAGTAACAGTAAACAATTAAAATATAAATTGCAATTTTTGGTGACAACAGCTGTCAAGTTTTGGCGCGGGTAAACTCGAAAAAACTGCTGACAGGTGCTGTCATACAGTTTTTTCACCAAGAAACCATTTGTAATTCAAAATTGCGCGTTTGTGATTGGTGGAAATTAAGACGAGGGAAATAGTCTCAAAAAACCCTTGAACACGTAAACTGAGATATAAGTTAAAGTATTTTTATCCAAAATTTTATAAAGATTGGTAAAGGCGTTTTAGAGTTGGATTTTTTTACTTGTTATGCGTTAATTTTGACGCGCAGTGTAGATGAGCAGATTTTTTATTTCAATAATATTTATATTTTAAGAAAGGATAAAAAACAATTTTCTATTAACGTTTAAAAAATAAAAACTTAAAATTTCTTAATAATAAAAAAGTTTAGTATATTATGTATTAAGATTGATAAACGCTATTTTACTCACGAACTTTAATTAAATGAGTGTCTAGAAAAACTTATAAACAAGTTGCATACTATACTTTTTCTACGACAAATATTTATTATTATCTAAAAATTATTTTAATTAAATATAGAGCGATATCTATAAAACAACAGATTTTCATTGTATAATATTTTATAAAATCGTATAAAATTTTGTAGAATTTCACAGAAATAAAAAGTTTTTGTAAAAAAAGTATTTGTACTAAAATTGAGCAAAACTAGTACCAGATTCATTTAATGTAATACACTTTTTTTAATTTATTGGAATCTCTTGTCAATAATTTTCACTTATTTTTTTTCAACAATTTTTACATTTTCAATAATACAATGAAATTACATATTTTCAAAAATTAACGATTCATTTTCAAAAAAATAATGATAATTTTGCAGTCAAAGTAAAAAAATCGAAAAAATTAATATAAATTTAAATTTAACCTTAAATAACTTTTAAACCAGTGAATTTATCGAAAAATCATAAGAGAGCTTTTTTGTACAGCTTTCAATTTCCTATAAAAATATGTATCTTTTATTACTTTATATTAACTTGGTCTAAAGAAACAAAATTAAATGTAAAACACGCCAAAACCCCATGTTATTTAAATGGGAAATGTATTGTCTTTGTGGCAAGGTTTAATATAAATATTAAGGGCTTATATGAGTCTGATAATTCTTTTTGGTTCATAAACTGAAAATTAGGGGGCGCTGAGAAAAAAAAATAGTTGGTAAATAATGGACACCCTAATTAGCTAATATTCAGTCCCTTGGATTGTAATATTTTAGTTCACCAGGCTTACAGCTTTGCCAAGTTTTTCAAACTTAAATGCTGGATAACTTAAAAGCTACTCGTAAAAAAATGTATTTTTTCCAATATTCTTAATTTTCAAATAATAATTTGCTATTTTTTATTAATTTTTTCTTTTTAATGAGTAAAAAAATCTGAATTTTTTGTATTTCATTTATTACTTTTGATTTAATTGTGTACCATACACTTTTAATTTAAGTTTATTCCGAGGACCTAAGTTAATAAAATATATACTATAACTAAATTATTTTAACAAACATTTGCAAAATAAACTTTAAAAACATTTATTTTTAATCTCTGAGTATAATACAAGTAAATAATATTGTATAGGATTTATTATTAACCAGAACAAAAATATATGAATTTTTATGAACTGAAAAAGTCTTAGTTATCTGGTATTTTAAATATTCTTGACCTTGACCTTTATAAAAATAAACGACTTATTTTGATTGGGTTAATAGGAATTTCTTCATAAATTTTTATTTTTAAAATATTATCTTTTTGTATGCCTTACGGAATAATTAGGAATATGTGTAAAAAAAAGCTTAATTTACCATAAGAAATTCGTAAACAAGTTTATTATGTAGTAAATTAGTGCAAATAATACTATCCATTGCCAATGACCAAGATACTAGGTATATCCTAAAAATTGGATTTTAACGTATTTTTATTTTTACTAAAATTTGTCATTTCCATTACTTAAAACATTTCACAAATAAATGTTTTTGTTTAAACAGTGTCAAAAATTTAGATGCGCAATTAATTCACCTTTTTATTACTTACTAATCGCAAATTTAAGTATTTTAAATTTAACTTTTTAGTATTAGTTTGTATCTACAATAAAGGTGATCAATTCATTTTCTTGAATACACCCCTTTCAAGAAAAAGGAATCAATAGTTTTTAAAACGACCCATTAAATTAAAAAGCATACAAAACAACTAAAAAATTCAGAATGTCTAAGTGAAATTCCAACATTTAATTTAACGCCAATTACCAGCAAAACATGTGAATCATTTATTTATTATTTACATGCGCGCCTTTTCGAAAACGTAATAAAAAAACAAATATTTACGTAACTTCGTATATTTACCGTGATAACGACTATAGAAATTTAATTGGCGGAATTCTTACTTGGATCCCCGTCAGAGATTCCATAAAAATTAAAAACGTTTTTAAGAATGGATTAGTAATGGATTATTTACAAATATACCTATTAATTTATTGCACTGGAAATTGTGTAAAATATATGGAATTTTCTCTTATGAGTAATCATATTAATAAATAGAAAAAATACCGTTAAATGTGTTTGAAAAACTGCAATTATCAGAGCGACAAAATATGTTTAAAATATTAATTTCCTTTAGAAGTAACAGTGTGCGATAAAATGAACTTTTTAACACAAGCAGTCTCACCATTAATCCTACATCCTGTCCCATCAAATGCAGCTGGTCCTCCATGGACGATTTTCGACTGTAATGCGCTAAAACGTAGCTTATGGCCGGCAAGCGAACTGGACTATTGTTTGCTACACATTGCCAAATGCAAGTGTAAAAATACGGGGGTCCTACACCCTCGCAAACGTTTTCTAGCAAATTTGTGGTTCTAAAATAAATATTTTTAAAAAAGTTATTAGACATTTTTATATTTTACTACAAATGAAAATTATATTATTTATATTTATTACCTTTCAAAGTGATCCGAGCCAGTGTCTAAACCTGGCAAAATACCACTTAAAAATCCACCCAAAGCTGGTCTTAATCTTTCCTTTAGGGGTACAAAGTGTGTTTCATATATTTTTAAAAGGGTGGGCCTTATGTTCATTGCTGCATGACCCATTAACGGAAAGAGTCCTACAAATGAAGAACATATCAAAAATTTAAGAGGAAACGAATATTTGATAGGCACTTTTTATTAAAAAATTATATCAAAAAATTAACGTTACCTATATAAAAATTTGTAAAAAGCGAGTTTACTGTTGTCAATTTACATTTTGCATAATGTATGATAATATCATACACTCACAGGCAAAATAATCGATCCACACAAATTTTCGATGAATTTAAATGGCAAATAACTTTTTTATTTGATTTCGGATTTAAACAAATATTAAAAAATATTGTAGATACATGAATGGAGAATCGCTCACATTTTAAAAATTACTAAAAAATACACGTACGTTTATAATATACAGGTTTAAACAAAAAGATGTTTTTTACCATAAGTTTAAGGCACTCTGTAGAGTGGCAAAACCGTATATTGTTCTAAATTAAGTTTTAATTATCAAGTCACATCTATTTTTAACAGTTTTGTTTTTATTTCACCTTGATATATTTATTTTTGTGGAAAATATGGATTTTTTTTTTAAATATTGCAATTTCCAATATTTTTCCTGTATGAAGAACGAAGGTTGCTATGGTCCATCCATAGCCTATGGAGGATGACAGTGACAGTTTTGTTGAATCATCCCATACTTGGACATGTCATATACAGCTTTCAAAAGCTATCAAATTGTTTTTTGTAAATTAATGTGTTAATTTTGAGGTGTCTTCTTACTTTTAAAAATGTCTCCGACTGATGTCCGTGTGACCGTCCATCCTGGATTAAATTAATGGCTCTGGCAACATCAGTCAGAGACATCAATTTTTTTAAAGTAAGAAGACACCTCAAAATTTAAACATTTGCAATAAACAATTTGATAGCATTTGAAAGCCGTGTATGACATGTCCAAGTATGGGATGATTCAACAAAACTGTCATTCTCCATAGCCTATGGATGGACCATAGCAACCCTAGTTCTTCATACAGAAAAATATTGGAAATTGCAATGTTTTTTAAAAAAATCCATATTTTCCACAAAAATAAATATATCGAGGTGAACCAAAAACAAAACTGTTAAGAATAGATGTGACTTGATAAATAAAACTTAATTTAGAACAATATACGGTTTTGCCACTCTACAGTGTCTTAAACTTATGGTAAAAAACATATTTTTGTTTAAACCTGTATATTATAAACGTACGTCTATTTTTTAGTAATTTTTTAAAATGTGAGCGATTGTCCATTAATTTATCTATAATATTCTTTAATATTCGTTTAAATCCGACATCAAATAAAAAAGTTATTTGCGATTGAAATTCATCGAAAATTTGTGTGGATCGATTATTTTGCCTGTGAGTGTATTATGTTATAGTAAAAAAGGTTTTGCAAAATTGATTAAAAACGTATTTTTGAAAGCAGAAAAAAACTTTTTATAATCCAGTCTTGTTAATTAACTTTAAATCATTGTTTTATATTAAAAATTTAATTAGTTTACAATGAAAACATCAGTTAATTATACATCAAATAAATAAAGATAATAAAATTCGTATTAATTGTAAATGATTAACTTTTTCCAGCCAATATACATAATTTGCAAATATAATATAATTTTATGTTAAATTTAGGTATTGTTTGTATAATGCCTACACATTATCAAGTGTTAATTACAAATACTATTCATCACTTTTTTTTACTATCAATACTTGGGTAATTTAAGTCTTATGTAGTAAGATTAAGTATGATTTGCATAATTAACGCATAATAATATTAGTTATCCATGAACTTTAGTAATAATAATAATAATGGTTTATCAGTATAATTTTATAATTTTATTCGCAAAGGAATTCGTTTAAATAAAAATCTGTATGCTATCTAAATTTTAACCATAGCCACAGGAAGAATCCATAAGATTATTTTATTATCTAAAATTAGGGTCATTTATATTTTAAATAAATCCATATGGATGTGTTTAGTTTTTAAATTTGAAAATCAAAGGTTTTTTTATTGTTAAAATAATCAATATTGCTATAATAACAATTATTAACAAACGCAATTTTGTTATTGCATAATTAAAATCTACGCATACGAGTTGATTTAAAAAAAAAACCCTACCTTTCTGAAACAAATTTTGAGAACGCTACAGCGTTTTAAAAAACGCAAGATTAAAAACGCTTCGATGACCTTAAAGGCAGCGCGTGAAGTAACAATGTTACAACAGATGTGTCAAGAATTACGAATGAATCCAACATCTGTTTCTAGTATTTGTCTAGGTTATATTCAATATTCTTCAAAACAATAAGCTTTAACTTAACAATTTATTTAATTTTAATAATAATAATAATAATAATAAACTTTATTGGAAATCCAAATGGCTAACGACTTTCGTCTTCCTGCCCATATTTAATTTTATTTTGTGCAAAAATGTGTTGTAGTATAGTAAAAAAATACAGTTTTATGATTTTTTAAATCGAGCATTGCTTCAAAGTATTTAAATTGTTTCAATATACCATTTATATTGTATATTTTTAAGAAAAAAATAATAGCAAAAATCGTTTTTTTCAATGACTAATCTGTATAATAGAAAAGGTTTTTCACTGGTTTTTGAAATCAAGTCCCAATTCCATTTTTCAATAATAAAAAATTATGCTGGTTGTTATAAATATTATTTAAAATATGGCATATTTTTAAAGACAATATAACAGGAATAGAAATTGTAATTGATATGGATTTTACCATGATAAAAATAATGCTGGCTGCTTTAAATAATTATCAATACAAACATATTTTGATGCATTTATACATTTTAAAAATATTTATTTAACACTGCAGTAAAACATTATCAATGTGGTTAGAGATGTTAAGATTAAAAAAACTGGGTCAGCAATAAAAATTCAGTATTTTATCAAAAATACAAATAAATCTTTTGTGGTAAAAACCATTTTGAAATGATTTAATTTTAGTTTTTAGACAAAATGTTTAACGCTTTTTTATTTTGAAAATTGGTTTTTATTTTTTGTAATCTCTTAGAAACCAATGTTCATAACTAGAAACAGCTGTTTAAAAAATTAAAAACTAATTAAATATTGGAGATTTTTGTTGCTTAGTATAAAATTGAATGTACTTACCAGCACTATAAATAAAAAGTTCACTAGAGAGTCTGTTGGGCCCCATACTTGTAAAAATAAGATCGTATGTATCCAGAGCCCTTAAATGGACTCCTGATGGAAGAGCTGGATGCATGCATTGTGAAAGTCGTTTACTAATTTTAATTCTTCTAGGAATAACGGAATATTTGGAGTAACTCGACAATACCTGTAATTTATACAAGATCAAACAAGTGGTAAATAAAAAAAAAATTATTTCCAAGTCAGGAATACTGACCCTCTTCCTAAACAAAAAATAATAATTTAATTTTTCACCAGTAAAATTCTTCAATATTAAGGTCAATGACTAGCTCTTAAAAACCCCTCAGGGTCTCGGGTATGCCAATGACCTGATAAAATGTTTAGAATATAGGTATATTTAATATAATTTAGCAAATAAAACTTTTGATAACTAATAAAATTGGAATAAATAAAGGGTGACTCAAAATCACCAGACTTAATAAAAATATATATAAATATATATATATATACAGGGTGGTCCAGGATTAATCTGAAAAATTTTAATGATCGATAGAGCCTGAAAAAACAATAAAAACAAACCCAAAAACATTTTTAAAAAATGCATACTAACGGAGATATAGTCCTTCAAAATAATTTTTAAACCATTAAACCGATTCTTCTCAAATTTTGTGTAGGTTAAGCTTCCGTCGATAATATAATGAACAAAAGGCCCAGTGGCGGAGATTTTGGGAGGGGTTTCCCCTTTTTACCCTCATATTTTCGACGCCACTGGATTTTATTAGAAAATCATCAGATTTATTTTTATCCTTTTTCAATCTAAAAGCAAAACTTTTATGTTTATTTTTTATCAGATCAACGGAGATATTTCAGTTTAAACTTTCAAAAACACTGTGTACACGGAACTTTTGTTATTATTTTAGTAATAAATTTTTTTTTTTTTTCTGAATGATTGTATTGGGCCAATAAAAATTTATCAAATGAAATTATTGAATAATCACTTTCAATAGGGTGGGTTGGTTTGATTTTGTATTATAATACAATTAAATTATTAATTACAGACGTTGATTGTAATCCTCAATCAACGTTACAATAAAACAACCTAAAAATATGACGGGATCAGTAACAACTGCACGATGACTCCTGGACGCTAGTTTATTTTTATAATATTTTATAAACTGATAACGTGGCATAATTGTTACCAAGTTACCGATTTAAAATAAAATATGATAAAATTCAGTGTACTCGGTGTTTTGAAATTTTAAAATCTCCGAAACCACTGATCTTATGAAAATTTAACACACAAGTTTTGCTTCTAAATTGAATAAGAAATCTGATGATTTTCCAATAAAATCCAGTGGTGTCGAAATATGGGGGAAAAAAGGGGAAACCCCCACAAAATATCCGCCGCTGGGCCTTTTGTAAGAAATTTTACCTAGGCACACAAAATTTGAGCAGAAGTTATTAAAAAAAAACGTTTTTTTTGCCTTTGAAGGCCTATTAGTGTGTTAGTGTGTATTTTTAAAAAATGTTTTTGGGTTTGTTTTTATTGTTTTTTCAGGCTCTATCGATCATTAAAATTTTTCAGATTAATCCTGGACCACCCTGTATATATATATATATATATATATAAATTTTCTTTAGCATTTTTTCGAATTCGGAAAATTGCAGAAGTTATTTAATTTTTAAAGCCTTCAATGAGCTCAGTATTTTTGTGTTTTTAAAAGAGACTGATCATTAGGAAAAAGTAAAAAAACATGAATTCGGTGCATAAAAATTAAATAATTTCTGCAATTTTGGGAATTTGAAAAATTCTAAAGAAAATTTTGTCTTAGTTTTGCAAGGAATTTTAATAAAAATTTTGTGGAAAAAAATAAAAAAATATTTTATTTTTTTTATTATAGAAAAGGCCAGACTTTAATGCACTGTGTCAGAATCATAGAATCATTGTGTCAAAATTCCTAAACAAATTACTGGTTGAAAATTGCATTTGTTTACAAAAAAGTTATAAACAAACTACTTAATTTTCAATATTGTATCCATGTAAAGTTCAGCTAACACTTTCAGTATTATATATATAAAAAAAATTACATATTAAATATTTAATTGTGGAAAAAAATTTTATAAAACTTTTGGAAATTCTGACCCATACATTATTCTTTTCATTTTTCACATACAGTGTAAATTTACCTTGTTTAATTTTGCGAGGGCTGCAATAAGATCTGCCCATTCCGATGTGTAATCAAAGTTTTTCAGTGCCTTATCAACGGCACCAACATACATACGATATTTCGAATCTTTCATTAGTTCGAATTCTTCGTTTTCTAAGGTAGTCATTTTGGTGGATACACTTTTTAAACTTAACAATAAATTAAATGGTTTAATGCAATTGTCCTACTTGCTTACAGAATTTGTCATGGTTTAAATAGTAGCTGACATTTGACATGTACAGATAGAGCACAATAAAGAGCTATTAATAGTTACAATACATATTTTATCCTTTTATAAGTTCTAAATGGTAAACAAAATATACAAATTATTGAGTAATCTAAACTTGTCGTGCATAATTAATAGTCATTAACGATATATTTCGTCTATTTGTACTTAAATCACTAACATACACTACTAACTGCGCGCTATTCAAATCGAACTAAAAACAATAAGGAATTCATACACTGTTAATTTATTATGACATTTTGCATGATCTCGATTTGTGACATCTATAAAACTGTCGGTAACATCGAAATCTACTTTACCCCTACCATTACTGAAAGCGGTGTTGCCACGTCGACTGTTTCTGCATTGGATCTACTGTTTCGTTCTCTGGAATAGATTTTAATCGGGAAAATCTTGTGATAAAGCTCGCAAAAATAAGAAGAAAAGTTTAAAAATCTTTGTTTTTGAGATAGAGGGTGATAAAGTTATTAGATTTTTTTTTTAATTTTGGTGGAATTTAATAAAAAATTCAGGTTCTTAGTAGATAAAGGGCTTAATTTAATGTAATTAAATTAAATTTAGTTAATCCTGAGGTGGCGCTAGGGCATTATGTTCTGTGGGGCATTCAAACTACCTATATATTAAAAAAAAATTAAAATAAATTTGGGTACGCTAGTGCTTCTTGATAAGTTTATTTTTATTTTTTGTTGAAACAATTATATATAGGTAGGTATTACAGTTTTTTTGTGCTATATATAATTGTTTCAACATTTTCCTATAGGAAAAATAAAATTCGTTTATTCGCTCGCCCTGGAGAACTTACGGTGGAAGTTCATATAAACTTTTCTTCTTACTTTTGCGAGTTCTATTTAATGTTCCCGATTAAAATTTGAGACACCCTGTATATACGAAAGCAGCTCGATAGGTCCTTGAAAGCTTGCGGGATCTAAATATACTTTTTCTATGATCTAAATAGTGTGGCATCGTCGCAATTTTAACGCAAAATTGGTTATAGGTTATATACGTACAATAAACATATGTTTAGAGAAATTCATCAACAAATAGTTAACAATGGATGAACATGACATTCCTATTGATATTAACACGACAAAATTACTGGACTGGCTTACATCCAGGCGACATGTGAACAAAGATTGGCAGGTTAACATTTTAAAAGTAAGAGAAAAAATAAACAGTGCCATACAAGATATGCCAGCTCATGAAGGCATTATAAAGTTACTTTCCGGACAACACATTAACTACTTTCATTGCCTGAAAATCGTGGATATCCTCAAGGAAACTGAAGCGGATACTAAAAACTTATTTGGTAGATATGGTTCTCAGCGGATGAAAGATTGGCAGGATATTATTTCTAGTTACCAAAAGGATAATCTATATTTGGCTGAGGCAGCACAGATGTTGATCAGAAATGTAAGTTACGAGATTCCTGGTTTGAAGAAACAAGTTGCCAAAATTGAGCAGTCGCAATTGGAGTGTGAGAAAAAACTTAAGGATTATGGAAAAGTTGAAACAACCGCCTTAAAAGAATTTAATGTGGCTTGTGAGCAGTTGGGGATACCTGGAGATGAGATTAAGATGGAATTATTGGGGTTATTGAAGGAGTTACCAAAAATATACAAGGATACTTCAGAGAGGATTAAAATTGTACAATCTGCTATTGAGTTGTACACTGAGTTTTCCAAGTTTTTGTCTGGGAAAGATAGAGATGTGGAGATGTTGTCAGCACTTAAATACCTTGTTGAAAAAGGTAATACAACTACCTATGAGTATACATATGGTGAAAAACCTGTAAAAATTGAAGAGGAAGAATTAATTATCAAAGACAAGGCACCAGAAAAGGAAAATAAGAATGTAATTGATTTTGGTGATATTGACTTTGGTGACAATGGAAATGAAATTGACTTTGGTGATATTGACACTAACACAATTGATTTTGGTACCACTGAGGCAGACATTGATTGGGGAACTCTCAATAATGATGAAGGATTTGAAATGGTAAACCACCTTGATGTTGATATTAATCTGGAAGAATCTGGAATTGTGGTGGAAAAATCTGGATTAGATGGTGGGATTGCCAGAGGAGATGAAGCCTTGACTATCCTGGATAACCCAAAAACAAGGGAACAAATAATAAACAACCTGATGGAAATTTTGGCTTTCCTAAAAATCAGACTCTATGAAATGGCGAGTGACTCAGATTTATTGCAGGATGCCCCAGCTGTCCTTCAAATGCAAACAATTGAAAGTATTACATCCCTAATTGATTGTGTAAATGTGGCTTTGGATCAGCTAACAAATAAAAGAATACAGCATTTACACAACATAAAACATTCCTCCAAATATGTGGACATTCTTACAGCAAGTCTAAAGCAAAAGTTATCCATTGTAGATAGAATGAAGGTAAATAAAAAACTCGTCGAGAAAAAAATCGTTGGGTTACAAGAAGAAAAAAGCAATCTACAGCCTGTTATCAAGGTTTTAATTGAGAAAACTAAGGAATTGCAAAAGGATGTTCAAGAAGATATCTCAAAAAAATACAAAGGCAGGGTTGTTAATATTATTGGTGGTGTCAATTTATTATAATTTTTATTGTTATTTGAATTTGTATAAATTTTATTGTATTTAATGTATTAAAGCAATTTTTTAATAAATTGGTCATTTTTATTTTTCTCTATTTATTTTCGTTTACTTATTAAAATTTTGAAATTTAATTTTGTAATCTTGCGTATATGACGATGGGTAAGATTATCTTACCCATCGTCATAGACGCATCGTCGTTGCTTGGCAACAAAAACGAGATCATTTTTAACCATAGATTAGATAAATTAGATAGATTTTAACAGCGATATTAATCATTAATAATTAATGTCTGCCCCTCGTATATTTATTTACCTCTGTTGGCAGCACTGATGGAGAAAATCAATTATTTTCTGACAAATTCAAGATCAAACATTATTTTGATAATTTTATTCAATAAATGTGCTTCAAGATTGTAATTAATTGTTTTAAAGAACTCTCTGATTTAATTTAACAAATTACGAAAAAAATAGCTTACAGGGGTGGTTTTATTGTTTTCTGTTGGCAGCATTGGAAAGCTTTGATGAAAAGCTTTCCTTCTGTCATCTTGGCAACTGTCAAAAATAAATAATGTCCTTTTCCTGTAATTAACATTAATTAACAACAACATTAACAACAACAAAAACGCTATGATTAAAATGATATAAAAGGTAATAAAATAAAATCTTATCTGTTGCTTAGGTAGATTATGATTAGTTTATAGATTTTTCTAATTAGTGAGGATAATGTCGGGAGGCGACAAAAAACGTAAACATACGCGGTCCCAGGGCTGGGAACCCGCAGGTTCCGAATTTTACCAAGAAAGTTACCCCATGGATGCTGAAGAAATAATGCCTCAGGACCCAAAACATTTGGCAACCCTTTTACCCAGTAAACAATCTAGAGCAGGTATGTCTTTCTTTGTTAAATTAATAACCCTACCAAACCTATCCCTTGTCTATGATATAAGCCCACAGAAATGATAAACAACTTTTAATAATGTCAATTTAATAACAAACTTAAATAATATTTTTAGGGGCCACATTAAGACTAAGAACCTATGACCAAAGGACAGCCACAACTAGAAGATGGCAGGCTACAAATCAAACACAAAAAGATTCAACTGATACAGCACAACATCGCAGACCCTCTCAGGGTGAAGTACAAGTTTCAATGTTGCCAGATTTGTCACAGAATTTGTCAAATGAGCAGTCGACATGGGAAGAGGTCATGCTAATTAAAGCTATGCCCATTCCTATGGATGAGAAAAAGAAACTTAAGGAAAAGATTCTGGTAAGTTAATTTGTATTTAAATTTTATTTAGGAATTAAACCAACAGGAAAAATATAAAATATTATACAACTCAGATATAACTTGTAGTATTCACACTTTTTCATCTGAATTTTTTTCATTTTGAATTTACATTTTTGCCCTAAAAACCTTTAACCATAACATATTATTTTTAAAAATCGTTCAAAGTTTTAAGTTTAGGTATACTGCCATGATAAGCTAAACTGCTGTATCTACAATATTAAGTAATAAAGGACAAAAGAAGCTTTTTATTGTTTTTAACAATAAAATTCATTGTCATTTCTTTTATTTTAAAAAGTTTTAGATAAATAAATAATTTTTAAACAAAAATAATAAAAATAAATAATTTAAAAAAAGTTATAACTAAAAAACTACTTAAAATAGTGCGCCATTTTCAGGACACCCTGTGTGTCTGCCTAAGTTGTCTACTAATGGAAAACTTTTTTATTGTTAATTTTACAAAAAATAGTGACTGAAAAGTTCTGTTTTTTGAAAATTAAAATTAGCCCTTTAAAACTTGAAATAGAATGTACAGGAATAATTTATAATATAAATGCCCCAAGAGAGAACCTACCCTTAATTTTTATTTTAGAGCGAAATAAAATAAGGAAATGTGGCTTATATTGGCTTAGAGCCACATAGAATTAAAAGTTATTTTTTAATGGGAGTCAATAAATTTAATCTTGGATATAACTTTAAATATCAAGCAACCTTTTTTTTATTTTATTTTGCTCTAAAATAAAAATTAAGGGTACTTTTCTCTTGGGCCAATTATAAATTTTCCTACTTTATGACCACTCTTTAGGTACATGCTATTTTTAAGGTTTAAAAGGCTAATTATAATTTTGTAGGATAAGGAGTAACTTGTAACCACTGTATAAGGGCATTTTTTGTAATTTAAAAAAATGGCGTCCTTACTGGATTTTATTTGGAAAAGGTATTAATATATTTTTTAAAAGTTTCTTTATGGTATGAGAGGTACAAATCTATTTGGTGTAACTAAAGTTAGAATAGGTATAACTTCATATTGAAAATTATAGGCAAAACTCAAAATGTCCTCTTCTATCCATGTCCCCAGTAACTTTTTCTGTAATTTAACATTGGCAAGTTTGTCCTAAAATATTATAATTGTCTTTTTTTTCAAAGCTTATTATTTATTTTAAAATACTTATGTTATGATGTTCAATATTTGAATTAAATTACAATTAATACCAGTAATAACAAAAGAAAAAAAAATAGTTATGTAACTTGAAAAAAGAGAATATTAGAGAATTATATTTAAAAAAAGCATTATTCATTTCAAAAAACCATTATTCTTTAAAAAAAAAGCATTATTCAAAGCTTATTTTTTCAAAACTTACCATTTTGCCAATACGAAAGTAAAATCTGAAATACTTTCTATTAAAAGTAAGCTGTTCCCAACATTTATGTCCTCCTTCTTTGTAGTCCTATGAAATAGTGACAGATGGCGCCAGTAATGAGTGCAAACTATCAAATTGGTTGTTAGTTGTCTATTTTTTTTTTAAGAAAAAGCTGAAATATCTCAAAATGTACGTAAATTTTATAATTTAAAAAATACCATTTCTGCCAAGTATAAATTTATAATTTCATTTTTTTACGAGTAAGAATGGATAAAAGGGACAAATTTATTATTATATTTCCATTTTGTTTGTTTTTCCAAAATAAAATATGCGACAAATCAATTTTTTTTTCAATAATTTTTGAGAGGTTTTTAAATAATTTTTGAGGGTTTTTCAAGCTGCAGTCACAATAAAAATTACTGTCCAAATAGGATGAAATTTAAAAATAAAAAAGCCCATAAAAAAATGTTCTGCCCAGTTTTCGCGTTATCAAGAATTTAAATCATTACTTGTTTTAATCAATTTTTAAGCTCTTAACATCATCAACAATTTTTTTAACACTAAAATTTTCATTTAAAATTTCGTGCTGCCAACATAAAAACACAAAAATATTGTTAATTATGTTCTTTTTAGTTTTTTTATGATTCTTAAATTTTGTATAGTACAGTGTTACCCATTTGTTGGCGACGTACCCCTGTAAAATCTTTATTTATTGTCTGATTTTAAACGGATTTGTTTTAAAGTGTAGATATTGATAAGCTGTATTTTTACAAAATACATGGTTTAATTTTATTTCAATGTTTTTTATGGATAATTTGACAGAATAAATTTTTGTAAATAATAATTATAGTGCATATGGTGAATCCAGTGCCGTCCATAGAATTTTTTTTAATCGCTAATATCAATTCTTAAAAATTTACTCTCAAACACTAACATAGTGGGCCTTGTATTTTGTAAAAATATATTTTTTTGCTGCAAAAATACGGTTTATCCAGATCAACCCTTGAGTCGCAAACAAATGGGTCACACTGTATAGTATATAGCAAACAAAAAAAAATTGGATTAAAACCTTAGTTTTACTTTTTCTTTTTTTAGAATCAGCCAAATTTGAGGCTGCAAGGCTACGAGCAATTCAAGTGGAAAAGGCGGAAAGCTTGGGATCACACTATGATCAGGGTAAACGAAATGTTTACAAAAGTTGAACTTTGGAGACAATCTTTGAAACACATTGAAGGTAACTTTGGTACGGGTGTTGTGGCATACTTCCTCCTATTGAAGTGGATGTTTTTCCTCAACTTGACAATATTCATTAGCATATTTTTGTTTATAACCCTACCCACAATACTATTAAAGGACTCACAAGGATGTACTGAGATTAAAGATTTAGTAAATAACGCCAGCTATTCTACGGATTCAGTGGATTTTAATTTTTTGGATTTATTTCAAGGCACAGGCATTGTGGAAGATACCGCCTTGTTTTACGGTTTTTACCCCAACGAAACTTATTGCTACTTGGTGAATAACACCAAGTTATACTACAACTTACCGCTGGCATACCTGCTTATAACACTTCTGTACTTTTTGTTGTCGCTAATAAACATTGTAAAGTCGGCGGCGCGCGGTTTCAGAGAGCGGTTGATCGAGAGCGAGGGTCAGTTCTACCAATATTGCAACTTGATTTTCGGCGGCTGGGATTTCTGCATTCACAACCAAGCCTCCGCCGATATAAAACACAAGGCGTTGTACAACGAGATCAAAGCCACCTTGGAAACGGACAAATCCGAGGAAGAACGACAGAACAGGACGAGAGGGGAGAGATACGTCATCATATTCTGGCGAATGACGGCGTTTTTGGTCACCGTAGCCGTCTGGGGCTTTTCGGGTGCGGCCATTTATTTCGTTTTCGACATCTCCACTAGGGAGCTAGAGAAGGAGATCGACGATAAGTTTATTCAGTTCGTTTACCAATTTCTGCCGTCCTTTTGCATTGTGCTGCTGAACATGATTGTCCCGCAAATATTCAAGAGAATCGTCGTTTTCGAGAAATACTGCCCCGCTAACGCGTTAACTTTCACTTTGCTGCGCTCCGTGGGCTTGCGTTTAGCCTCTCTATTCGTTTTGTATTACTCGTTGTTCTCCAAAGTCACCTGCCACAACAAAGAGAACTGCACTGAGATGGAGTGCTGGGAGAACTACGTGGGCCAAAACATTTACAAGTTGTTGTGGACCGATTTCGCCACGCACGTGTTCACGACGTTCTTCCTGAACTTCCCCAGAGCCCTGCTCGCCAAGCATTGCAACAATAAAGTCTTCAAGGCGTTGGGCCAACAAACTTTCGAGCTTCCCAAAAACGTTCTGGACGTCGTCTACTCTCAAACTCTGTGCTGGTTCGGGTTTTTCTACGCCCCGCTGCTGTCCGCCATGGCTTCCCTAGCGTTCTTCCTCATCTTCTACATCAAAAAGTTCGCCTGCATGAACAACAGCACACCCAGCGCGGTCGTTTACAGAGCCTCCCGCTCGAACTCGATGTTCATGAGCGTTCTGCTGTTTTCGTTCGTGTGCGCCCTCCTGCCCATAGCCTTCTCGGTCTCGGAGATGACGCCCTCTACGATGTGCGGGCCTTTTAGCGAGCACGCCTCCGTGTGGCAGCTCATAGTCCAAATATTCTCGTACACTCCCGACGTCATAAAGACGGTCGGGCATTTCGTCACCACTGCCGGGTTCGCCATTCCGATGTTCGTCGTGTTGTTCCTGCTGCTTTACTATTATAACGCCATTAACGCGGCCAACCGGCACATGGTGACTGTCCTCAAAAATCAGCTCGTTCTCGAAGGTCACGACAAGCAGTTTTTGCTCAACAGATTGAGCATGTTTATCAAGGAGAACCAGAAAAAGGAGAGGCACCGAAACGCGGACTATTACGAGAATACGCAACACAGAAATATATCCAGTAGCAATTAGTATGTGGCTTATAGCGATAAATAGATTACAGATATTTTTTGAGAAAAAGAAAATACATTTCAATGATTAGCATAGGCGTAAAAGAGCTTATTTATTTTTAAAGTTATTATTTTTGCATTTTGTTTTTTAATTTGTGACTAAAATATTCAACCTTAATAGGGTTGTTTTTGAATTTATATGCTCCCACGGGCTGAAAATTTGAGCTCTATGGAAATAACAGGAAAAAATGTTTGCATTCTTTGAAATTTTATGGGACAAAATTACCGTAAATATTGAAAAATATATTTTGTAGAGAATTAAAAGCGCTCATATGTTAATTTAACTTCAAAGTTTAATTTATATAAAATATGATTCTGTCAAGTATACTTATACATAGCTACAAAATTAACAAACATGTTATAATAGTATATACGAAAAACTATCGCACTAGCGAGAAAAATTAAAGCACGAGCTTTTTTTTTTAAAAATTCTAATATTTTGGAAACTTTAGAAAATTTTAAAATATAAAAGAGCTTGTGTCTACACTTGTATTACATACTTAAACCATTACATAACATAATAGTTCATTTTGTAGTTATACTTGACAGAATGATAGTTATAAATATAAATTTTACTTTAACATATAAACCCTGTAATATACGAATTTTATGCATCAGACCTTTTTTATAGAGCGTTTAGTTTCAACAGCAATTTAGCTGTTGAACAACTTTTCTAGGGTAAAATGGGTAATTTTGCTAAATTAGCTCTGTTTTTTAAGATATTAGAAAAAAACGATTAATTGATTAAAAAAACATGGAAACATTATTCATACACGGCGCGTCAAAATAAACGCATAATAAGTAAAAAAATTCTAAAACTCTAAAACGCCTTAACCAATCTTTAGATCTTAGTTTACGTTTTCAATGGTTTTTTGAGAAAATATTTTTAAAGCCCTTTTATTTAATAATAAAAAAAAGTTTGAAACGGTCTTTCATAGCATAGTTTTTATTTACTTAAAAAAAATCCCTACAAGTTTTTTTTCAAGCGTTTTTTATTATTAAATAAAAGGATTTAAGGATATTTTCTGGAAAAACCCTTAAACACGTAAACTGAGATATAAGTTGAAGTATTTTTATCCAAAATTTTATAAAGATTGGTAAAGGCGTTTTGGAGTTGGATTTTTTACTTGTTATGCGTTAATTGTATATGTATATTTTGTTAATCAAATAGTTTAACTGAGAATCATTGGTAATCTAGTTATGGGTACTAATTAATCTTAAAAATAATACCTACACATTCATAACATTTTTCATTTAAAAATTTATTAAGTTATAAAACTATTATAAAAATAAAATCGTTTTTAGCCAAAATTGGACAATTTTAATATTTAAAGTGGTTAACGATTTTGATAAAGTTTAAAAAATTTTGTAACTTCATTGTGTTAAAATTTCAATGTAATAAAATAAAAATTCGCTCAAAACAACCTGCGCGTGTTCAATTTTATATTTACGGCCAAAAACGGGTTATCCTCAATATCACAAAACCAAGGTCTATAGCTCAATTATAATTGAGCAAAATTATGGTCAAGTTATTGGCCACCCTGTGGGAAACGAAAAAAAATTGGTTTTGTCCACCAGTGTTATCTACAAAAATATGTATTTTAAAATATTATCGGTTTATTCGTTAACGAATATTAAAATTTTAAAGAGCAAAAAAAGTTATTTCCATGGCATGATTTAAGAAAATTCAATCACAAAGCAAACTAACTTATTTGGTGTTAAAATAAAAAGCTCAAATTTTCAAAGAATTTGTTTATTCAATTTGAAACTTTTAAATTGAAAGCGTTAAAGCCCCTGGGACCCAACCCTATTAACCATATTAACGCTTTATATTTTAATTTAGGTAGTGTTTGATTCCTCAAAAATAATTGAATAAAAAATTCGGTTTAAAAATCAATTTGTTGTTTTTAAAATAATTGATAAATTTAGGCTCAAAAATGTTATGTAATTTATGGACACTGCTTTAAATTGAAATATAATGCGCATATTTCTTATTTTTATCCCAAAAAATCAAAATTGATAATTTTGTTTCTAGTTTGACTCAAAAACCAAAACCATTAGATTTAAGTTTATATAAATATTTGTAAATATAAAATTAGGTATTTTAATATCATATTTTGAAAGAAAAAATTTGGTGCTTCTAGATGTAATTCAGGCATTTTTTGTTAAGTTTGTTGCTCAGAAATTGACCAATATAATAGCATTTATTTTACACAACGCAGTCTCAATTTACATACCAAAAATGTTCAATTTACATAATTTTTAAGATTTGTATTTGTATTTATTATTAACCAGCGCACATTATATGAGTGTACTGTTTTTATATAATGTTTTGTGATTTTTCCAAGTTATTTATTGTTTTTAAATTTCTTAAACACGACCAAGGTCTGTAAAATTTAGTTTGTTACATAGATCCTTAAAAGGGTTACCTTAAGACCTTGGTTTTTATACAGAGTGTTTTTACTCAGATTGGACAGCATAATAGAGGTTGTAGATCTCATGGAGACATTTTTTTGTTTTTACATAAACCACTTTATCTTTGTTATTTATGGCCGGATTTAAAAATAATTAAAACAAAAATTTTAGATTAAACTGACAATTACACTCATGTCAATTTAAACCTATTAAAAACTGTCAAAAATAGGGTTTGCTGAAGGATAAAAAGGAAGAAACAGAAATGCAAGTTGACAAAATTGGCGAATATTTTTCTATTTACAGGGTTCCCGTTTGTCATAAAATTTTTAAATATCATAAAATTGGTTAAATTGTCCTAAAATGTCATAAAATTCACATTTTGTCATAGAAATCATAAAATTTCATTATTTTTTAACAATTTTCTCACCTTTGATCTTTTTTATAAAAATGGAAATTTTGTTAAATAAAATTTAAAGCCGATCCTGTAGAATAAAACGCAATAAAATGTTTTAAATATGGCCTTGGTTGTTGACGTATGAACTTCATACTATGAAGGAAAAAGAAGTTAGGTTAGAAAATGAATTTTAAATTTGAAATAAATAATGAGAAAGGTAAATTTATTTTTATACTATATTACTTTACTAAGGAAGGCACAAAGAAGGACTTGAAGAAATTGATACTATTTTGGCAAGTAAGGAAGCAAAGTTAAAAATAACAAAAAATATTATTTCTGAAGGAAATAAGAAATTATCGAAGTACCTTAACAATAACTACATAACTACTCTTAAAAAATCTTTAATATTGGAGGCTCAAACAATGATTAACATGGGTCTAAAAAAGAAAAAAAATAGTACCTATAAGTATATATACTATTTTTTTTTGCTTTTTTGAGACCCATGTTTATCATTGTTTGAGCCTCCAATATTTCAGATTTGTATACCTTTGTGGTTTTATTTATTTTGAGATTATAATAAAATACTAAAGTAACATATTAAAAATATTATAGCAGAAATATTTATTTTGATGCGAGAAAAAATATTTATTTTTATATAATAAACCGTTAAAAAATTACATTTATTTTATTAAATAACTTTAGAAATAATAAATTCTTGTCATAAAAAATGTCATAAAATTTGAAAAATTTGTCATAAAATCATAAAAAAAAAGTACAAAACAATGCTGGGAACCCTGTATTTATCTTCTCCATAGTATTATGTATAGAGAAATGCCAAAGTGACACAAAAAATAACTAGCTAAATAGAACCTCTAGTGGTATTTGATAATTCTATTAAATCAAGCCATACATTTCGGAGATATTGTGTAAAAACAAAAGAAAGTCAATATTGAAAAACAAAAGCTTAAATAAAAATATTCGTTTGAAAAAAAATTTAGTCTTAAGATCTACCTCTATTACACCCTGTAAATAGGCCAAATATATTTACCAATTAATTTTGTTTTCTAGTCACACAAGTATCAATTAATTTATGTAATGTATACCAAATAAAAGTAAATTATTCATAATAAGTGTTTTATTTCAAAGATTACATTAAAAAATAATAATTAAACAATTAGGGTAAGGCACAATAAGGTACTATTTTACAATTATCATTCTTCTAAAAGTGTTTTATTTCAAAGATTACATTAAAAAAAATTATTTAAAAATTAGGTTAAGGCACAATGAGGTACTATTTTACAATTATCATTCTTCTACAAGGGGGCTATGTAGCTGAAATCGAGAGAAATATGAATAATATAGAAAAAATTGCATAACTTTTTCTTACCACTTCAGCAATTTCTAGCCAATCCAAAGCCTGCCTAATGGTATCAGCCTGGCTTGGAATTTTCCCCCAATTCCAATAAGTAAATGATTTAAAATTATTCACAACATAAAACTTACGTTCTTCCTTTTCAGTTTCTGGTTTTATACTTTCATGTAAAACAACTCCCATGTAACCTTCTGGTAACTCAACCCTGGCCCCTTTAAGAGGGTATCCTCTAAATGAAGCCGTAAAAGCTAAAAACAAACTTTTTAGATCCTTAAACTTACAGGTTATAAATTTCATTTACTTCCGTCCTCTTGGTTTTTTTTTACGCCAGTTTCAAAGTATTTGTCAACTTGAGCATCGCACTCCGCGTGTATTGTGAATGGAACGCTATGTACTTTACTATCATTTTTGTTACTTTCGATATTATTTTTCCCGCTCTGTATATGTATCGTTGCCATTTTTTAATTTTTAAACTGATAAGTGACTAAAATCCCGTCACATTCAGTGTTCCCAACCTTTCAGAGTAATAATTCCCTTGTTGCATGGCAAAAATTCCCTATTTCGTGCCAAAATTCCCTGCTTTCAATGTTGCCAAGAAAGATGACTTCATATCAAAAATACAATTTTTAAAATATGATCTAAAAATAAAATAAAATAAAAAACAAACGTAAAAACAACATCTGAGGCGTATACCGCAAAAGCGGCCTAACTGAAAAAAAAATAATTTTGTGTTTTTATCTTAAAATATTCCTATTATGCGCTTATTGAGTGAGCTAGCCTAATAAAGTGTATTTTAATATACAAAGTAGTAACTACTCTTCATATTAAAACACACTTTATTAGGCTAGCTTACTCGATAAGAGCATTATAGGAATATTTCGAGATAAAAACACAAAATGTTCTTTTTTAAGTTGGGCCTTTTTTGCATGCAGTATACGCCTCATCTAACAAATAAATTATTAAAATATGAAGGTAAACATGAAATAAAATTGACTCGCAGTTGACATATACTTAGTTCTTCTCACAGAACATATACTTAGTTCTTCTTCTAGCCACAACATTTGGGCTGCGTTGTTAAACTTCTTTTTATTTTGGGTCACTTTATTAAATAAGTGACCGAAAAAAAGTGTAATCTAGAACGTGGGCTTTTTAATAATAAATAAGAAAAATTCCCTAATTTTAACAATTTTTACTAAAAAATTCCCTTTTCCCTTTTTGGTACCAAAATTCCCTAAAAAGGGAAAATTCCCTGCAGTTGGGAACACTGGTCACATTAATCAAACCATAAAACATAATTTAAATAGAATTCTGTATGGGTATATATTGCAACTACATATATTTTTAAGCTTTAAAAGAAATAAAAGTAAATAAAAAATGTTAAAATTCAACGTATTTTAAGATAAGTTATAAAAATATTCGACACTTTAGCCACATAATAATCTAGTGACTTTTGTTGGGGAATTTTGTTAATGTGAAAAATTGAGGTTAGAAAAGACGCTTGTGGCCGCACGTGGTGCATGTGTTGTAAAGTTTTGTGGAATAAAAGAATATTTTTGTGTTTATACGATATAATATAATTAAAAATACATAATGGGTAGACCAGGTAAGTCAAAATATTATCTATAGTAAATAAGAACAATAATATTAACGAGATTTTCGATATTTATGGATAAATTCACGGCATGTTTTTGAAGAACCGCGTGTTGAAATTTTTTATTTTAAAATGTGGGGTTAATAAGAATATTTGTGGGTTTATGGGATTCGGGGTTTGTTTATTTTATAAAAAAAATATCAATTATTGCTGGTAAGCTTTAATAACTTGTATTTATTTGTAATTTATATTGTGAAATTTTGTTTACTCAAGGATAGGATGATGGTGTCTTGAATTAATTTAAATTTAGAAATTTTGTTTTAAAATACAATCTAAAAACAATTTAAATTTACATGTATACCCTATGGGTAAACCCAAGTACCTATTTAAAAAAAAACAATAATATTGGTTCATTAATTAGCCTGATTGTGACAAATTTAACTTAAATTTGCTTATTCGTCTGTGGTAAAAATTTGACCGTAAAATAAACATTTTAAAATTAAAATTTTTGATAATAATTAAGAAATACAGTTTTACCTCAAATGTTTGTTATCTAAATAGGTAAAACTTGATTTATTTCTGCTAAGCCTAATTAAATTACGCATAATTATAATAAATTATTATTATTATTATTCTTATTATTAATAAATATTAGCATTAAGTATTAATAATTATCATTTAAAATCTTCATTTTTACCACAAATGAAACAGCAAATGTGGCTGAATAAAAAAGTTACAATTAATTCTTTTGAATGGGCAAGTGGATAAAGGTGGATTGTTTATATCTAAAGTTTGTTCCAGAATGGGTTACCAAGTTTAAAGCAAACAGATATTTTTGATTTTTTAGAAAAAAATATTCTTGATGATTTTTCATGTTTGTTTTTAAATCCCTAAAACACCCAACAAAAATTGTCACGTCTGAAAAAAGGAAAAAAATATATACATACCTATAAGAAATGATCAAGGAAAAATGTAATTTTCATAGAAGCAGTTAAAAGCAGTGGCGGCTGGAGGATTTTGGGTATACCAATATCTCAGTTATTAGACATGGGACCCACACCAAATATATAATAGTTTATAATGACATTAAATAGACATTACAGATTTTATGCGATTTTAAATTTTTATTATTTATTTTATTAAAATAAAAAATATGTATATCACGGTGCTGTTCTGAGAGGTGATTTTTGGACTTTCTGTGAAACCTAATATTTTTTTATATTCTTGTTAATTAGGTCATAACTAAAATTTTAAGAGCAAAATAAAAAAAAATTGACGGTTTGAATTGTTTTAATTGGCTGTTTATTAAAAATATCATGCACTCTTTCAATTATCCAATTAAAACTAGCGATTTAATTTAAATATTTAATATTTGCATAACTAAAAAAAGGTTTTTACAATTTTTTTTATATATTTTACTGTTTTGTTGCAATAAACGTTCAAACTTTTAATCTAACCCTTGACGTATACATTTATGTTCCCTTAATTAATATATCCTTAAAGGTTGCCATGAAACTTAGATCTATTAAAAATTTATTTGACGTTTGAATTGTCATTTTCAGTATACGTATTCTATAATTTTTGTTTAGTTTTTTAAAGTGTTTTTTATAGACAAAAATGAAAAATTGTAGTAAAAGTTACAAAGAAATTCATGAAATTTAACTAGGGACCGGTTTATTAATCTTTAGTAAAGTTTATCGGGCCGATAACTTTCATGTCTTGGCAATATCTAGTATCCAAAGAAACTATTCGTCAAATAAATCAAAAATGAATAAATCGGCCCTAAATAAAATGTGGCACCCTTAGAATTATTGTTTAATAAATGTATACTATACATTTAACCTTAAATTAAAACTTTAAACGTGTATTACAACAAAACAGTAAAAGATATAAAAATGTATAGACCTTTTTTTAGGAAATTAACTAATCTTTAATCTGATTTAAAAAGTTATGATAATATTTAAATAAAATCGCAAGTTTTAATTGGAGAATTGAAAGTGTGCATACATATTTTTAATAAACATCCAATTAAAACAAAATTAACCGTCAAAAATTTTTTATTTTGCTCTTAAAATTTTAGTTATGACCTAATTAACAAGAATATAAAAAAAAATTAGGTTTCACAGAAAGTCCAAAAATCACCTCTCAGAACAGCACAGTGATATGTATACATAATATACACGAAAAACTAACTTTTTTTGCAAACAATTTAAAGTCTGTTTTCGCCGAACTTGTCTATTTAATGTCATTATAAACTACTATAAATTTGGTGTGGGTCCCATCAAAGATAATATCTTTGGGTCCCATGGGACATGCATGTCTAATAACTGAGATATTGGTATACCCGGGTATACCCAAAATCCACCAGCTGCCACTGGTTAAAGTTTTTTAAAAAAGTGGTAAAATTAAGAATAAATTTTTCTGAAAAATTAAATAAAAATATTTATTTGATTTCCCAGAAAAAAATTGTTCTTAATGATTTTACCACTTTTTTCAAAACTCCAACTGCTCCTTGGAAAATTACAATTTTCCTTTATCATTTTTTAAACAAATTTAGAAATGTTAGTATTTTGAAAACCATTTTTCCAACATATTTTTTTACCCAGTTTGGGAGGAATTTTTTTAAACAATTAGTACATTTCACTGCCACCGGGTTTTATACTACTAATTTTTTTCGCAAAATCTACATGATATTTTTTCATAGATTGCTAGATTTTGAGATACCACCACCATCAAACTCAAAACATAGTAGCAAAGAAATTGGATGAAAATGCAGATTAATGTGTATGTTTACATGTAAAACTTACTTTCAAAATTACCAAGAATAAAGTTATAACGATTTTTGTTTTTTAAAGGTTTTTAGTTTTTTCAAATATTTTGAGGACCGCTGGCTATTTTTTAATTTATTTTAGTTTTTTATTTAAAAAAAGTCCATTTGAAAAAGCCCATACATAGGCTTCTGCATTAAAAGGACAAGTTGCACTTTAAATTGAAAGAAAAACGAGTTAAAACTATTTTACATTGTGCACCACAATCAATATGAAAAATCAGCTGTTTATTTAACCTAACATTTTTACTTGTTATGTACTAATGGGAAAAGTTCAGAAAAATAAAAATAAAGGTAAACTTGGAATTATTTGGGTTATTTTCATCATTATCTTTTAAAGTTACGTAATTTTAAAACTTGATTATGATTTTCCATTTCCTTGCACTAATTTTAATTTTGATTTGATTTTTTAAATTTAATTTTATCTTTTTCTTTCAGGATTTTCACCGGCTGGTGATCGTGGAGGTAGAGGCGGTAGGGGCGGCTTTGGCGGTCGCGGAGGTGGCGGCCGCGGAGGCGGTGGCGGATTCGGAGGTGGTGGCCGTGGCGGGGGCGGCGGCGGGTTCGGAGGCGGTGGCCGAGGCGGCGGTCGCGGCGGGTTCGGAGGAGGCGGTCGTGGTGGCGATCGTGGCGGTAGAGGAGGTTTCGGAGGTCGCGGAGGCGGCGGAAGAGGAGGCCGAGGCGGCGGTCGCGGGGGCGGCGCTGGCGGCTTCAAGGGAGGCAAAACCGTTGTCATCGAACCACATAGGCACGAGGGCGTTTTCATTGCCAGAGGCAAAGAAGATGCGCTGGTTACCTTGAACTTTGTTCCTGGGTCAGAGGTTTATGGAGAAAAAAGAATATCTGTTGAGGTAAGGGCTATCAATTTAAAGGGAACAAATCTTAAAGATTATGGAAATTTGTGTTTTTGTAATTTTTAAGAGTTTTTAAATCTTAGTGTATAATAGGTAGTTAGTGATGCAACAAAAGTGTCATAACACAAGCAGAAGGGGAAAATTAACATTTCTTTGTCAATTATTGTTTATTTATTAAATTAATTTTCAAAACTTAAAAATGAA